CCATGGTCGATGCTTTGTAAAGAGGCGAGCATCCAGCGGCCCTCCTACGGAAGCTTAACTATTAGGATTCTACTAGTAGTATTAGACTAGATCTCTATTATATTAGTAGTATTAGACTAGATCTCTGTTTCCTATCTTTATATACTTTGTATCCGTTGTTCTTGATTATCAATACAGAAAATATATTCTCATATTAACGACCTACTCCCCCTCGGGCCTCGGGTGACAATATGAACAACTGGACAGCAGACCAGATCGGCGAACGGGGCACAAGATCTGGTGCAGGTATATGCCTTACTTCTTTACTTCTAACTTTTCTTCTCGAGGGAATTAACCGGCTTATTACACAGCTGACCCACATTCTCACCTCCCTCTACTGCCAAGCCAAGGTCGCAAAGGAAACCTAGCCCTTGAAGAAGACCATCTCTCTCCAAGATGTCGAGATCAAGGACCTCAAGTGGAGAAGGAGTTGAAGGCTAATTGGGAGGAGGCCCAAGAGGCCTGGCTCAAGATTGACGACCTGGTTCGCCTCACTACCCATCTTTGCCGCGATCGGGCGGTGACAGGGCCCTTTTTCCGAGAATTCTTGAAGAATCAGGTTGGCAAAGACCTTGTTTGGGCCTACGGGAAATTGGCCTTTACCATCAATCAGAGGGCCATGCAAGAGGAGGTCCGGACGGCTTTGGCAGAATCCCTCGAGGACGACGATCTCACCACCATCCTGGGCGTCCTTCCCGACGAGGTCACTGACCTGGGCCCTGCCCCATACATGGAGTCGTCCACTGCAGAACCGGTCCCCGTATTTGGTCTAGGGACCATTCGATCTAGTGATTGCTTCGGTCTTCAGCCAAAATTTGTTCTAGGGACCATTCGACCTAGTGATCGCTTCGGTCTTTAGCCGGAATGATATAGGGATCAAGTTTTTGATCTAGTAATCATTTCGGCCTTCAAGCCATTGTGATCTAGGGATCAGGTTTTCCGATCTAGGGGTGCCTACATCGTAGGGTTTTCACTGCGTGGAATTGTTCTTCGCTCGGTTGGCCGTCAAAGGCTAGCTTAATCGACTAAAGATGAAAAACACAATCATTACAAACCAATTGTCAACAAATACAGACTCGAAATCACTCGAGGTGGCCAGGCTTACAACATTAGACATTGTGCACCAACGACCTTCCGAACATGATGGACATTACAACGCTGGACCACTACGCTACAATACCAATATTACAATTGACACAAAAGGACAACATAACAATGTCGGAGCGAATCCTAATCGTGGAGCAATACAAGATGCTTGGAGTTCCAAATTTGATCCACCGCCTTATGGAGCTCAATAGAGCCATGAGCCTTACACTTCGTACGGAACACCCACTTATAGCCAATAACATTCATACCAGGCTTCGTAGGAACGAATTGCCACGCGTTGTTATGAAGTAAAGCATTGAACTCCTAATCCATTGCCTCACGCCATTCTGGAAAACTAACGGCTTGTGTATAACAAAAAGGATCATAACTACTAATAGAGGCAACCAACGCATTTTGCTGTTCTACAGCCCTGGACATATGATGGAGCACCATTAGATGAGTGCACTACGGAGGAACATCAGAGGATGCTTGCCTCTTAGTGTGACATACCGGTTCAGGTGTAACAACAACAGCAGGAATAGCCGTGGGAGCTGTGGGCTGCTCAGATGCATGAGACGGAGTGGAGGATTGCACATAGGAACAGAGGGAACCACCAAACCAGCACCCCAAGGTTTGGAATCAATATCACCATGCAAAGCCTGTAGAGATGAAGACTTGGCAAGCGAAACACACTCTCATCAAAATGCACATGACGACATATATAAACTTTCCCAGTGTCAAGAGCTATGCAACGATAACCACAATAAGAGTCAGGATAACGAAGAAACACACAAGGAGTGGAACGAAAATCCATCTTATGCTTGTTATATGGACGTAGATAGGGAAAACACAAACACCCAAGACACGAAGAAAATAATAATTCGGTGGAGTCTGAAACAACTTAAAGTAAGGACTAACCATCCTAGGACAGAAGAAGACAAGCGATTAATAAGAAATACAGAATACTCAAAAGCAAAATTCCAATACAGAGATGGAACGAAACCGTGAGCCATGAGATAAAGGCCAGTTTCAACAACATTACGGTGACACCGTTCCACTCTACCATTTTGCTCATACATATATGCACAAGACTGACGATGAACAATCCCAACTGGCCGTGGGATTTACCAATTACGTTTGAAATACGAAACTCACCACCAAAATTAGAAATTTATGAAAAACAACATAAATATCATATTTCAAACGTAATTGGTAAATCCAAGTATAACGAGTATGATCATCCACAAAAAGCACAAAATATCTATAACAATTAGAAGATAAAACAGGCGCGTGGCCCCAAATGTTTGTATAAATGAGGTCCAATATATTATCACTAGACGACTCTACTCTAGATAAAGAAAAGCGAGAAGATTTTCCCAACTGGCAAGCAGAACATAATGAAGACGAACTAAAATTCTTGCTACTAACAGAACAAGATTGAAAAACTTTATTTAATTCGCGAAATGTGGATGACCCAAGCGGTTATGCCAAATAGTAGAAGATGCTCGAGAGGAGAGAAAACAACAAGAGAGGAAGACACAGGCAAGGAATATAATCCACCCGAACAAGGACCCCTAAGAAGTACTTCCTTGGTGACGAGCTCCTTCACAACATAAAACAAAGGGTGAAACTAAAAAAAAAAGACATTATTATCATAAGCAAATTTCTGAACAGATAGTAAAGAGGCAGATAAACCAGGAACATGCAAAATGTTAGACAATCCTAACCACCTAGAAGGAGTAGGTATCGCATAACCAATACCAAAAATAGCCAAACTTGCACCATTGCCTACACACAGCGTATCACCACCATGATAAGCCTTAGACTCCATTAATACACTCTCATCCGGCATGGCATGATTTGTAGCCCCTGTATCTGGAATCCATCTAGCGGGAAAAAACTCACCATTCGAATTTTGAACCGAGCCAGCATCATTATTGGGAAACAAACTACCACTTTGATTGGGAAACAAATGACCACTGTAATCAGTAGTTCCACCGCCTCCAGAATACTAGGAACCACTGCCTCCAGAATACGCCATGTGAGCTTGAGGCGTTGAACCATCGGAGTAACGCTGGAAGCAAGTGAATGTTGTGTGGCCGTGACTTCTACATATCTGACAACGATGGAGTGTACTGCGACAACCACGTTCGCCACGCTGATGCCCACGACCACCACGCCAAGCACCTCATTGGTTCCCATCACCATGTCACCAACCACCACCACAATGAGCCAAGAAGACACCAGGAGACGAAGCACCACCAGCCGGTGACAATTCATCAGTCAAGATAAACTGTTGTGCCAGTAAAAAATCAGAGAGCTGGGAGATGGTAACCAGTGTGCCTGAAGTCACCAGCAACGACGCTAACGCCCGAAATTCTGGTCGGAGTCCTCGGAAAACATATAAATTTTGTTCGTCCAAGGACACTAGGGCCAATGCAAGTTCCTCAACAAATCACCTGTGCTCTGCCAAGATACTCAGACGGCATGCTATCACCATGCCTCAATGTTTGAAACTGCCCAAGAAGATTAAGGGTACAAGCTCAAGTAGAAGATTCAAACGCCGATTCCACAGCAAGCCAGACTGACCGAGATGTGGCAAGACCAACCGCGAGGTACATTACTTCAGCAGAAAGATAAGATATGAGAATTGACAAAATGGATTTGTCTTGTTAAACCAAGGACAAAAACATCGGATTCTCAACCGAAGGAGCACCATAGTTGCAGTAATAGTCACGGAGGACACGGCAACGATCCATCAACATAGCCGTGGATATTCTTACCACGAAGGAAATACACCAACTGAGTACGCCAAAACAAATAATTGCGTGATGTAAGCTTGATTAAAACGAAGTGGTGAGCCGACGAGAGAGGATTTGTAGTCAAAACTGAAGGGGAGGAATGAGCCTCCATGACCGTCCGTTCCAAAGACACAGCGGCAATACTATCATTGCTCAGGGGTGGAAGAAGCCATACCCAGGATAGAACTAAGACAAGCTGATACCAGATGAATTTAGTTGTGTATTCAGATAGGTAACCGATAATAATTACATATATACAATCTATAGTATAAAACCTATATACAATCAAGTAGAGCACATAAGTAGAGACCTATACAAACTATAAATACAAAGAGTCATAATCAAAATTATTTATTGATGCTAAAATATATATTTTTTAAAATTAAGAAACAGAGGTAAAAATTTACTTAAATTTATTTCTTCACAGAAAACAGAACAAAAGCACATCAAACGTTTGTCGTCTCAACATCATTGCATTAAATGAACTATACCATTCCCTCTTTACATCCAAGAATAACACAAATGATACCCAACAAAAAAAAAAAAAAAAAAAAAAGCGCACACACTCTCCCTCTCCTTATTGGAAAAAGGTGGGGCCAGAAGTGTTGACTTGTGGGGTCCACACATTCTAGTGCAAAATGAAATCCTGCAGAACCAAAGATGCACCACCGTAAAGCTACTCATTTCCATGCTTTTAAACGGTACGGTCGCAATATATAGTTATTTAACGGCCCGACAGCGACCTGTCAGATTTTACGAAAAAGCTGATCAAACAATTTAAAATACCAAGTCCTATTTTTTTTTTTTTTTTTTTGAATAAAATACCAAGTCCTATTTTATTTTCAAAAAAAATAGCATTTTTATCATTCAGTTATACCGGTAATATAACTTAGTCCCTATGACTTGAGTTATATGTGTGTCTTTAACCTTTTAAAGTTATGCACAGAGTAACATTTTAGTCTTTTAGAACTAAAATTAAGTGACAAATTTAATCATTCGAAGACTAAAATCATCGCTCCATACATAACCTAAGGATTAAAGATGATCACGCTCCTACATCACAAATACAACTTGAGGACAAAAAATTACAATTTTCTCTTTATTTTATTTTATCTTACACTGGCGTTCCCCGGATATTTCATGCCATACCCAAAATTTCTCCGTTGAGGCGAATGTTTGATTTTTTTTTTTCCAGTCGCTGTTAAACGGAAACCATATCAGAGAACTAACGAGCCGCGGCAGCCACGGGAGTTCCAAGCACGGAAGTGGCAGTGAGAACTCCGTTCTGAGGCGGCGGGGGGGAGACGGCGAAGTTATTACTGGATCGGGAAAGGAAGTCGTTTACGATGACGGTGCTGGGATGAGCCACACGCCTTTCCCAAGATTCATCGCCGCCACGGGTTTCAAATGCCTCGGTGGCATTAAGGTTGTGAATGTTCCACGGCAACTGGGTTTGCAGCCTGAGAATATTCTGAAGTTGACGGCGAGCCAACTCTCCGGTATTCGCTTTAATGTTCTGAATGGCTGCCTTGAGAATCCGCCGTCTCGTCTCTCTGTCGACGCGGTTCTCGTGCCGGAAGAATTGATCCAGCTCGGGGACCCCAATCGCGCGTTTAATCCCGCGCGAATAATCCTCGCTGGCCGGGTCGAAGAAATCCCGGACTTCCTCCACTAGCCCCGCTTTCACCATCTTGTCCACCCGCTCCGACACTAACCTTTGCAGGATTTGTAACGAAACCTGCGTCCAAAGGAAACAGCAATCGTATCTGGACCGGAACTCGAGGTTGTCGAGCACCAGGGCCTTGATGAAGGAGTTGGAACCGCCGGCGATTATGGGGACGCGGTCTTTCCTGGCGATCAGTTCCATGGCGCGCAATGCGTGGTCGCAGAAATCCGCCGCCGCGAAATCCTCGTCCGGGTCGTCGATCACTCCTAGCAGGTGGTGGGGCACTCCACGGCGCTCCTCGTCCGTCACCTTATTGGTGGCTATGTCCAGCCCTTTATACACTTGCATTTTGTCCGAATTTATGATCTCCGCCGGGAAACGCCGGGCCAGGTCGATTGCCAGCTTTGATTTTCCGGTCCCGGTGGCCCCAACCACTATCACCACCTTCTCATTTCGCCGCCGAGGATCGATAAATAAGGGGTCCAAGTTTATTCCCCCGGGGAAGCTTACAAGCGGTGGTGACGGTTTGGAAGTTATACACGACATGCTCATCATAGACACCTTAAAGTACTAATCAAATAAAAACTATTAATTAAAACCCCTTAAAATGCATACTATGATATGATAATTACATGAACCAACTCTTACACTAACACAAATTATTCTGTGGACCCACGTCCAAAGATACACAATTTATACATGAAATGTTAACAATTTATCTTTTAAAAATTCACAATTTGTAATGATCATTTATTATATTTATAAATTCTCAAAAATTAGAAATACATTTTATATTTTAGATGTTCACAATTGTAATAATAAAATTACACAATTTAGCACCATGGTCCACCTTGCAAGGTGGACCCTGACCCATGGTATAACACCGGACAACAACTGCATAATCAGAAAGAAATATCCAACCATAAGTCTGCAAGGTTTAACTTTCAATAAGTAGTATTTAGAAGATGATCAGAAGAAATATTCAAACATAAGTTCTCCAGAGCTTAGCGTTCAATATATAGAAGAGATAACTGGTTGTAGATTGTCTGAGACACTCTCTAAGAGAGCACTCAGTATAATACGATCTTTCTGTTTCAAATTGTGTAAAGGAGATTAATGGTGTTTGTAGCTGCATCAGAAAGTCTTTCCGGAGCTTTGATAGAACCATCAACATAGCCAATAACACCAAGGCCAATGAGAGTAGACTCAACTTGATTCCTCCATAATGGGAAATTGGTAGTAGTTAATTTAATGGGAAATGGGTTGGGGCATTGAGATGAACAATCTTGGTGGTTTGCATCATAGACATGCTTGGGGAAGAAATATACTGTATATTTAATATATAAAATAAATAATAGGTATAGTTATAACAACTTATAATTAATAAAGGGAAAAACAGCTAGCCAGTAAAGGACCTATTCTTTCACACAATAAACAGTACAGTATTTAAGAAAAGAAGAAATATCAAAACATAAACCTCTAAGGATTTACCGTTCAATAAGCCTTATTTAAGAGAGAAGAAATATCCAAACATATATACCTTTTGCTATGAGATCGAAGAATATGGCGGCTATCGAGGAGACTTGTTGGCGTGCATAGAGATGATTGAAAGAGACTTGGAAATTGCCTTTGGCTTCTGCTATTTATTAAGGGGAACTTGGCAATTTTTTTGATTAAAATAAATGGGAGTATACTGTATACCTCTTGTCCCTAAGCCAGATTAGATAATAATATCATCGCCATAGAGGATTATAAATTTATAATTAATTAATTGCAACTTTGCAAATAAATATTCTAGTTGCTGGAATATAATAGTTAAGTTGGTGCAAAATAGTGAGAAATTTTGAAAATAATGTGTGATTACTTAATATGATATAAAGTTACAAAAATGAATACTACATGATTTAATTAATTTATCTTTGTAGTAGGATGTATGTCACTTTTATAATTATACAATTTTCGTGATCAAATGAGAGCTATGTCTTATGTGAAAACATGTGAACATGCATCCATGCACATAATTTATTATACGAATACACACAATCTACTATATCTACGGACAGATTGTGTGCATTCATGTAGTAGTTCGCAAGTTTTTTTTTTTTTTTTTTTTTTTTTGTCAAGCCATCCGGGCCGGTCCAATAAAGGGACAAAGTGCTGGCTAGATTGATTTTTTCATACGAGAGGGCGTTCGAACTCCCGATCTCTTTTAAAGGATGAGAGTGCACAACCACTCACACTAACCAAGTTGGTTTCGCAAGTTGTTATTTGAACACAAGCATATATATATATATATATATATATATATATATATATATATATATATATATATATATATATATATATATATATATATATATATATATATATATATATATATATATATATATATATATATATATATATATATAGGGAAGGGATCAGGTGCATTTGTGACTTCTCGTGCGGTTGATTAATGTGCGTCAATTTTATACTTAATGTGCGTGAGTCTTGTGCTCAATGTGCCTGAGATTTGTACTTAATGTGCGTGAGTGTGTAATGTTAATGTGCGTGAGTTTTGTATTGAATGTGCCTGAGTATTGTGCTTAATGTGCGAGACGTTTGTGCTTAATGTGCGTGGCGTTTAACACAATCGCACAGGAAGCCTAGCTATAAACAAAATACATTCAGACCACAACCTCACACACATTAAATACAAAAGTCAGACGAAGACGAAGACGTATATGATGAAGAACAGAGAGAGGGGGAGAGAGAATTAAGGGAATAGGAAGAGAAGACGAAGACGTATATGATGAAGAACATAGAGAGGGGAAGAGATGATTAAGGGAATAGAAAGAGAAGACGAAGACATAGACGAAGACGTATATGAAGAAGAACAGGGAGAGAGGAAGAGAGGATTAAGGGAAAAGGGAGGAAGAGAAGACGAAGACGAAGACGTATTGTACAGGATCAACAGGAGCACATTAACATTACACACTCACGCACATTAAGTACAAATCTCAGGCACATTAAACACAAGACTCAGGCACATTAAGTACAAAACTCACGCACATTAAGTACAAAGCTCAGGCACATTAAGCACAAGACTCACGCAGCTACATTAAGTACAAAGTTCACGCACATTAATCAACCACACAACCGCACGGGAAGCACCCAACCGCACTGGAACCTTTCACTATATATATATATATATATATATATATATATATATATATATATATATATATATATATATATATATATATATATATATATACAAGGGATTATGTGTGAAATGTCTTCCAGATGAAACATGCGGATTAATCATAGTCATTGATTTTTACAAAATCAACAGCCCAAAATGAAGATAAATTTTTTTTTTTTTTAAAATATGGTAGCATTATGATAATTTTGAGTATCGTTGAAAGCATAAGGTACGTATTTTCAAAGCTTAAGGTGCCCCCGTTTGATACTTAAAGTGCGTTAATTCTACACTTAAGGTGCATAAGTTCTACAGTTAAGGTGCATAAGTTCTATACTTAAGGTGTGTCATTTTAACACTTAAGGTGCGCAAATTCAACACTTAAGGTGCATATGTTTAAAACTTAAGGTGCGTCGGTTTGAATCTTAAGGTGTGTATGTTCAAAGCTTAATGCGCGTTAGTTTGAACTTCAGGGTGTGTCAATTCTACACTTAATGTGCGTCTGTTTGATACTTAAGTTGCGTCGTCATTTTAACACTCATGGTGCGCCAATTCAACACTTAACCCGTAAGTTCAAAGCTTAAGTTGCGTCAATTTGAACCTTAAGGTGCGTATGTTTAAAGCTTAAGGTGCACCAATTCTACACTTAAGGTGTGTTCGTTCGATACTTAATGTGCGTCAATACGACACTTAAGGTGCGTCAGTTGGAAACTTATTAAAGTGCATATTTTTGAACCTTATGGTGCATTTGTTCAACATTGGTAGGAGGAGTGACCGAGGTGGTCCAAAAATTGATGGACAATTTTAATATATGTCATCGCAAGTACACGAGTCACTATAGTAATAGCCTGCAAAATAAGGGGCGAACGCACAGGGAATTGATACAACACAATTTAATTACTTAAAAGAGTGAAAAAAGAGAATTCAAAATAAAGTTTCAATTGCAGTAAATTAAACCAAATGAAAACAACTTAGGAAAATATAATAATCAAAAGCCAAAGAAACAGAATTGACAATCAAAATGGATTAACTAAATGAAATTGAAAGACAGGAAAAACAATTGAATAACTACGAAACAAAATAGCAAGGAATAAAGGCTAGGAACATGAATCAATTACCATTATATTACTTATTTTGCAGACTAGTTTAACTTGCCAACCAATTAAGGGTTCGTTCTTTTCTCAAATATGACAACTTTGTATGGCGTCCAAAGTAAATCACGTGCTTTAACCATTCATGTACTTAAGATATTTAATTATTTATTCAAACAAATATAACTCATTCAGTCTAAAAAGAACTACGAAATACCCAAGTTTAGAAATCAAATAGATCAGACAATCAAATTATCTACTCATTTATCCTAAAGAGCTTGGAATTAAAAAGCATGGTGTATACTCAATTAATCCCCTCACATAAATTGATTAAAAGCTAAATCTGCTAGGTTTAACTTAATCAATCAATATGAAACACATATTGATAATTTTTGTGTGCTACATGGTATCATAGATGAAGTTATGACACATTATATACTTTAATCAAATAGTGTTGTTGAACATAAAAATAATACATTACACGAGATAATGAATGTGATATCAATAAGATCAGATCACGTTTACTCCAAAATATGTGGGGTGAGATTATTTTAGAAATAATTACTTTTTTAATGAGATACCCGAGAAAAAACTTGATAAGAATGTTTACTAGTTGTGTAAAATTATGAGGCCATACTATCAATATTTACAAGTGTGGAGATGTCTAGCAAAAGTAGCAATACCACCGACACCAAAAAAGTAATAATATAAAATAAGCCTAAATTGCGGGCTATATCTTCATTGACTAAACACATAGCAGCAGTGCAATAGTTATGCTGTGCAATCGTGTGCACCATGCATGGTGCACACAGTTGCAAAACGACGTCGTTTTGACTAAAACGCTCGTCACATTTAAAAAAAAAATCAGTTTTGATTTCCCTCAACAACATTATTGTGGATATATAGTTATGAATTATTGTGGATATATAGTTATAAATTTGTTGATATATAGTTATGAATTTGTGGATATATAGTTATGAATTTATGGATATTTAGTTCATTCATTGTGGATATTTAGTTCATTCATTCTGGGGTTTGTGTTATTCATTCACTGTGGATATATAGTTATGAATTTGTGAATATATAGTTATGAATTTGTGGATATATAGTTATGAATTTGTGGATATATAATTCAAATTATGCACAAAAAAATGCTATTGCCGGGAACCGAACCTGATTTTTTTTTTTTTTTTTTTTTAAGTGGGACGCGCGTTTTTAGTCAAAACGACATCGTTTTTGCAACCGTGTGCACCATACATGGTGCACACGGTTGCACAGCATAATTTGCGGCAGTAGTGGCTATCAATTATTTGTTGTTGTCAATTACACAATGCAACCGTGTTCTTAGATGGCTATGACAATTAGACCTGACAATTATGGACACGACCCGTTAATACGACACGGAACTGGACACGAAAATAACGGGTTAGTGATTAGCCTTAACGTGTCCTGGGTTGTTAACATGTTGACCCGTTAAAGACACGTTATGTTTCGTGTCTTAACGGGTCAACGCGTTAAACCTATTAAGAACCCGTTAATATTATCGTGTTAACCCGTTTACACGAACACATTTACACGAACCTGTTTATAACCCGCTAAGAATATTGTCTTGAATGAGATTACAAAAGATATCATGAACATGAGTAAGGATGAATTTACTACATTAGGCCAAGATCCTACACCAATTATTGATGTTCAACAATATGAAATTGGAATTTTTATTGTGTTTAATTTTATTCTAAAAACTAGTATGGACTTCTTTAATTATGATTTTTGGATGTTATTTTATCATTTTATGAACGTTTTTATAAATAGAATATTTTTTTAGTTTGTTTGATGGATTGAGTTGTAGGTTTTATTTCTTTTTTATATAACTTAACTTTAAATTTTAGTTTTTTTTAATATATTAATAGGTTTAGCGGGTTTAAACGGGTTTCGTGTTTTATCATGTCGACACGACTCGAAATCTGTTAACAAAACGTGTCAACTCGTTTAACCCGTTAACAAATCGTGTTCGTGTTCGTTTTAAAAATTTAAACTCATTAACCTTAACGTGTTGTGTCGTGTCCGTGTTTAGTCTTATTGTGTTCGTATCATTATCGTGTCGACCCGTTAACGAAGTCGTATACACAAATTTTCAGGTCTAATGACAACCTATGTTATCGATGTTGCAGACACACATAGGTCGGCTAGTCTTGCTATTGTAAGTTTATTTGAGTTGAGTAGTATATTTCTTGACCAGTTGAACTAAGATTGGTTCTTCAGAAAGCTAATCTTTAGGTATGATAAATTTGTCTAGCTTCTATTTGATTTAATATATTGGTGTAGTTGGACAATCTAATCACTAAATCATTG